AACGACAGCAGTATCTGAATATATACACAACAAATATATACATCTGAATATATACACAACAAAACAAACAACATGCACAGCCATGACACGAACACAGATCAATGGGCTGTGAGTTGCTGAACATTGTAACAATGGCTTTGGCAATAGTCCATTTAAGAGTGCACACTTTCAAAAGTAAAACTTAACGCTCAACATTTGCTGATTAAATGAATGAAGAATTTGTTTAAAGGAATGCAGAATGAGAAACTGATAAATGAAGCAGTGCAACTGACCAAGTAGGAAAGATTGTAAAATCAAGGAATGAATGGCTTACAAAGAACATTTGGGATCCTGAATTGGTATAGTTACTGAAAAATCACTTTGGCTAAAGAAAGAAAGACGCTATGGTATCTAGTGACTTTACTAAGATCATGTATCCTGGTGCTAGCCAGGGCCTTTTGATGAAAAGATTGACCAATGGGGAAAGGCCTTAGAAAAACTTCTTAAATTCTGCAATAAAGAGTAGTAAAGACAGAACTGGAGGCTCTGAACCGAAATACTACGGCAACCGCCTCCTACTTCATTCTGATCATAGCTGGCCACTGAGCTGACTATGATAACGAAGAAATGCCTGTGCAGGAGGTTGTGTGGGTGGGTGCTGTGTGTGATCAGGGGGAGGGTGGTAGAGAATATGAAAGAAAGTCTAGAGGGCATTTGTGTGGGCAACTTTGCAATTAACTAAATGAAAATCAGAAGGTCTAATTGTACTTTGTCCTAAGTCATCCTCCCTAGGATTTTATGCTTGTAAAAACGAAAACCGGCTTTGCATTTGACAGGGAACGTGGTGAGCTGAGTTGCAATGGTTTAGCACATGCTGCTAATATTCCTGAGTATTTAGAGAAAAGAATCAGAAGGGCTGACCAACAACTGTTTCTCTACTGCAGCCTTCACGCAGGCCAAATGTGCAGACACGAGTTGGGAGAGCGTGGAAGGAAGGTTCGTGGCGGGGATCACAGACGGGCTGAGCGGGCCGACTGCTGTGAAAGGGCCAACCATCCTTTCCAAAGGCGAAGGGAACAGGCATTTGCTGAGAGCCGTGTGCCATGGAGGCATTTGGCTGTACCATCTCACTGATTCTCACAAGGGCATAAGGCAGGTACAATTATTTTCATTTTGACAGACAAGGAGACGGAGGGTCTGAGAACTTACATAGTGGATAAGGATTCGAACTTGGTTTAGACACCAGGTTTGTTCAGCTCTGTATTACCGCACCACCATGAACCTAAAGTAAGGGGAAGGATTTCTTTTTATAATTTCTTACCGACTCTCTGGAATAAAAAAAAAAACGTTTTGAGACTCTGATGGTTGCTTGACACTAAGCAGAATTCCCCTAGAACAGGTGAAAGTTATCAACAAAAGCCTGTACTTTTTGGGGGCCTCAAGAGACAGACTCCTACTTTGAAAAAAAAAATGTGTAAAATAAACTGAATCAACTCCAGATTCCTCCCAGCCAGTGCTATCCAGGAGGGACTAGGGGAGCCACTCATTGAGGGTGAACCAAATCCCAGCTCATTTTTCCTCCTGTGGGAAACAATTATGTAAGAAAAGAATGAAGACAGTAATAACCAACTATATTAAAACTTCTCGTTATCAAAAGTCAGCATAAGTGAAAAGACAAGTCAGTAATATATTTGTAACACATTAGCTGACGAAGGTATAGCATATGTAAAGAATTTCTACAAATTAATAAGAAAAAGACAAATCCACAGAAAACCAGGCAAAAGCTGGATGCAGTGGCACATGCCTGTAAGACCCAGCTACTTGGGAGACTGAGGCAGAAGGATTTGAGCCCAAGAGTTTGAGGCTGCAGCCCAATGTGGTTGAGACTGTGAATAGCCACTGTACTCCCGCCTGGGCAATATAGTGAGACTCCATCTCTTTAAAAAAAAAAATTGGGCCAATGACTTGAACATGTACTTCACAGAAGAACAAATAGAAATGACTGCTAAACGTATGAAAAAATGCTCAATTTCCCTGGAAATCAGAGAAACACGAATTAGAATCACAAAGAGTTACATTTACTAGACTGCCAAAATTTAAAATGTCAAATAAAGAATTCAAAAGAATATTCAGCAAATGAAACAAATGCACACTGCTGGTGGATTTGTACAAATATTTAGAAAAAACAATTGGCATCATCTGAGAAGGTGAAGATGTACAAACTCTACGACCCAGCAGAAAGAAATCCCTAGAGAAATTCGTGCCATGTTCCTCAGGCAATGTTCAAAGCAGTATTCTTTGCAATAGCAAAACAATGGAATTGATCCAAACGTCTATCAAGAGGACAATGGTTAAATGAATTTTAGTGTAGTCAAACAATGGAATATTATATAGTGGCGAAAATAAGTGAATTATATCCATACACCATCAACATGGGTGAATATTGCAAACATGTAGAATGAAAGAAGTTATAGAATACACACAATCTGACAGCATTTTTACAAAGCTCAAAACTAAAAACTGAACAGTACAGTTGAGGGACATGTGGTTACATAAGTGAGCTACATGCTAAAGAAAAGGAGTAATAAACATGCCATTGAGGACAGCGTAACCTCCAGGGTAGGAGGAGGAGAATTTGAAGTGGGGGAGAAATGCACAAGGTTATTTGGGCGTGAGTGACACTTTTTTTTTCTTTGGGTACATAAGCGTTTACCTTATTATTCTTTTGCCTAGTTAGTATATACTTTATGTGTATTCCTTTAAATGTAAAATTTTAAAACATGAACGAAGTAGTACTAAGTGTTTAGAAACGTGCTGGCTTCAATTGGAACCTCACTAACTTTTCTCTGATCAGTTGAGATTCATCAAATGCTTTTAGCTTGCCTTGTTCACTCCCTTTGGAAGGGAATGATTTCTAGTGGATTAAAGGCTTGGACAGCAGCAGGTAGAATTGTTAACCATTGGGAGATCTGCAGCTTGCTGTTGACATTTAAAAAGTAAAAGTTAAATAAACCTCAGGCTTGACTGACCCCTAAATGTTCCGTGGGCATTTCAGTGGTACCTCTATATTAATGAAGATATTTCTTAAAATCCCTTTGATAACAGAACCCTTGTTTCCAGAGATGAGAATCATGTTGGTGGCTTGGGGTTGGGCTCAGAGCCATGGGTTTCACTCCCAAACGAGGCGCAGCACCCAGACATTTCCTCGCTCCCCTAAGATAAGCCTTGACTTCCTGTTTAGGCACCAGGGCCAGCCTCTTGCTCAGGGATGGGCAGGTCCTGTAGGGTGGCTGCCGTGCTCCTGTTCTGCTCTTCCTTCAGCCGGGACATCTGCCCAAGTTATTGTTCTCACTTCTCTTCCAGAGGTTGTCAAAGCCCCAGCACTTGGGAAGACCAGGCTCTTTGAATTTCCCACAGGTCAGGCCGTCAAGTTGCCTGAGTATTAATTCCCTGGGCTAAGTCATCTGATTCAAGCTCTCACCACTCTCGGGGACCCTTGCCGTACCTGTAGAATCATTAGCTGCTTCTCACTTCTCTCATTTCTCCAACATTGGGATTTTTTAACATCACTCTCGGGAGCTTCCCCCTGAGAATTTTCAACTCCGCTAATATTTTGAATGTCTTTTCCAGCCTCAGTGGCCAATGACAGGTATGAGAGGAAGTATAGAATGAGTGGAAATGTTAGGGGACTTTCCACTAATGGCCACTAGAAGTCCCTTCACTTCTCCAAGTTACCAATAAGTTGCTACCAATAAAGGTCAATCCATTATGTGTCAGGTTGCGTTGAGATACATGATTTTTTCTGTTTACGCCAAACGTGCAAAGAAAGTATAATTATCCCCACTTTATAAGCAAAGGAAATAGAAGTTTAAATACGTATTAGTCAAGGTCACATAACCTGTAAAAACCCGAATCAATTATGGACTCCAACCCTCTACAAAGCAGTTGGAAATTCAAATGTCTTTTAGGGCAAGAACCGCCTCAGGCCCTGGCGGTGAGCAGCAGTGAGGGTAACGTGACATGTTGCTCTGAATATGCAATAACATCAGATTCTACTCATTTTCACTGCTCTAGTTCAGTGTGTAGGGAATCCACACTTTGGGTGGAATGGTATTACTTTCCAGAACACATTTTCTGCAAATTCACAGAGACAGGCCTTTGCTGTATCACAGACTAACAGTTTAGAAACTCATTTTTACCAAAGAACGCTTGAGGGGTGTTTATAGAAGCCCCCAAAATGTCTGAAACTAGAAATGACTCTATTTTTGAGCACATAGCTTTAAAAAAAAAAAGCTAAGAGACTGAATGCCAAACTTCAGCCCAGAGTGAATTTTTATGACTTGAGCTGTAAACCTATGAAATTAGGGGTTTAAAATGGAAATGCTGACACAATCTTTGCACTTCGTAGAACATCAAGTGCCGGTGGGGGCAGCGCTCTCTGCTCCTTGCCGCTGGCCCCTGCTGTGCTAGGAAACTTCCTGTCCAGTTTTCTTTACTTTGGGACCCCGGGTTCTCTTCTAGACCTCCGTAAGTCTCCCTCCGGCCTGACCGGAAAAGGTCGCTCAGATCCAGGCCCATCTGCAGACGTCCAGGGTCAGGGCTGAGCTGGCTGCAGAGCCCAGGCTGCGGAAGCCTTACTGGTTTCCAAGCTCTCTGGCACTGCCCTGCACTGCTGGCCAGGCCCTGCTAGCCTCGAACCTTCCAAGTGGCCCTGCGAGGCACTGCACGGAGCTATGTTGCTTCTAGAGCCAGCTACCAGCTTCCTGGGAATCCTCCTGTGACAGCAGAAGGGAACCATTCCCGAGGCCCCCAGGGCTCCCCTTAGATTCACTAATGGCTTTTGGCGAGTGGTGAGCTTGCATCCTCCTCAAAGGAAAAAAATCTCTATAAAAAGCCTTTTCCTTCAGGGCAGCAAAGAGATAGGTATTGATAGCTGCCTGAAAGTCACCTCAAATCCACATGGCTTCAAGCATGCAGACTTTGAGTTGGACTGCCTGGATTCAAGTCCTCCAAGTACCTACCTTCCAGGATTGCTTCGAAGATTAAATGAGGTGATACACGCAAGGACTGGGTGAAGGCAGTGAGTGCTCTTCTACCTGGCAGCGAGAGGCAGGGAAGGGACCTAGGGGCTCTGGGAGGCACATGAGTGAACCCAGGGGAGAGAAGAATGGAAACTGATGACTTCAAAGTGAAATTGTATTTGCACAGTGCTTTATAGTTTATTGTTTCATAATTTAATCAGAGTGTTCCTATAAGGTAGGTTATCTTCATTTTACAGACTGTGCCTCGGAGAGGTTCAGAGACTTGGCCAAGGTCATGTAGGTAAGTAAATGAAAAGTCAGGGTTTGAACCATGTCCTGATACTAAGTTTGATGCTCTTTTCATATTTCATAGATTTCGTTGAACTAGAAGGAAGGGTGACGATAATGGAGTCCTTAATACTTTATGGGTTCTTAATCTCAAAGACTGATTTTATACCTTTTAAAAAATTACTTTCTCAAGAAAATGTATCCCATTTCTTTATCACTAAGAACTCCAGAAAGTACCTTGGAACTAGCACAAGTTAGCCTCAAATGAGTATGTGAGCTTTAAAATGGAATTAAAGCGAATTTTCTAACTTAATTCCTCTTTCTTTTATACGTTCTCTAACTTTCACTTTAGTAATTTCTTCAGAGATTCTTATAAAACTTTTCAGTCTACGATCAGAATTTAATTTAAAAAATAGAGTAAAACAGCATTTAGAAAAAGCATTTAGCCAAAGTCTTTCATAACTCAGTAAAATTTGCTGAGCTGACGCCCATCTATATCTGGGCATGAAATAATTAAACAATAAAACTGTAGTTTGCTATAGTCACAAAGGAAGGTATGACGTGATCCAAGAACTATCATTTATTCTGCACAGTAGAGAAGACTTTTTCAGGTTGTTCCAACCTAGAAACTGTTCTCTTCCTAAAAAAGAGTGAGAGCAAGGATATCAAAACTAAGAGGGGTGGCTGTGGCCTGTGTTCAGGGGACACAATGACAGAAAGTGAACCTTCCGTATGTTACAGCTTTAACTGGTTCCGTTCAGGAGCAGATGGGGAACAGTTTTGCTAGTGCTATGGAAATACAGTTCAAAAGGACTGTCTTTAAAGACCAAACTTTGAGCAATTGCAGACAGAGAAGCAGAGAAATTTCTGCAACTAGTTAAAAAGCATTCAGGCAAGGTAGACCAGTAGGAATATAAGATAGCGTCGGCCCCAGAAGGTCAGCAGACAATGCACCATCAGACAATGAAAGAAGAGCATGTGAACAGGACCAGGAGCGAGACAGCCCACCAGTTCCTTAGTAGAAAATGATTGGTGCTTAATATCAGAACTGTATTATTGATTATTATAGTTGTGCTCATAGATTTATGCTTGAATTAACTATTTGATAAAATACAATTATTCTGCAATACACATTTCATCATATAATATACACTTAGTCATTATATATTTAGTTGATCCTTTAAACGGATTAGTCAGATTCTTTTAGAAGTCTTCATGAAGTCTTAAGTTCAAACAGACAAAAATCTTTTAACTATTAACGACACTCGAACCCAGTGGATTCCAGCTTACAGCTATAGTCAAGATTTTGAGGTTGGAAATTGGCAGACGAGACAAACAGCTCAGAAAAGTGCCTGATGAGGGAGGATGCACGCTCGCAACGGTGTATATCGGGGCAATGTTTGTGTTCATGATTTTTTATGCTGTGACCTTCACAAAACTGCTCTCTCATCTTGCAATTTTTCTTTTGTGGGCGGGAAATCACAGCCATACTCCACACCTCTCACCTTCTCATGGTCTCAATCTTCTATGGTTTCACCACGACTCCTTTCCTAATATGTCTTCCATAATTTACACCATGAGGCCATAGATCTCACTTGAGCCAGTCAGAAGCTCAACCTATAAACACTGCTCAAAACCAGGAAGAAAGGGAAAATGCAGGGTAAAGAGAGAATGAAGCTTTATGTAGCACCTGTTATGTGTCTAAGAGTCCAGTATGTACTTTATACACATTTTTTTTTCATTTAATCATTATAATTCTAGGATATAGATGTTATTTTCTCTACCTAATCTGAGATTCAAAGAGATCCAAGGCCTTTGTCCTTGTCCAAGGCCACACGGCTACGTAGAGGAGTTAAGATTCAGATTTGGGTCTGTCTGTCTCCAAAACTCATGTTCTTTCCACTGCACCACCCTGTTTTCCAAAAAGGTCTCTGAATGACCAAGGCAAATGTTGCAAAGCATGAGCCCCAAGCATGTGATTATGCATTTTACTCACGCAGGGAGTCTAAACCCCTCACAGAGACCTTGGTTGCTCTTCTTTTACACAGAATTCTAAGTTATGGTTTTCTGGTTTCTAAGCCTAGAGCTGATTAGAAAAGAGCACGTTAAAAGATGAGAGGAGGGCTTCTGTGAGCAAGCCACTGATGACAGTGAGAAGAGACAGATGACAGCTTGAGAGTAAGACAGAAAACCACATTAGAAAGCAGATACAAGGATAAAAGCATCAAAACGAATAAAACCTTCACATTATTAAGTGATGCTAATACTAATTACTGCTATCCTTTAAACAGTGCCTACTTAAGTGTCAGGCTCTGTGCTAAATGCAATGATTTTAAAAACTCAGCATTTCTGTTTTTTTTTTGTTGTTGTTTACAATTTGTTCATTATATTTAATGTCACATGATCCTCAAATCTAGACCGTGAAGTCTCATTTTAGCATTCCCATTATACAGATTAGAAACTGGAGATCAAAACCCTTAAGAACATTGCCCAAGGTCATGTAGCTATTCACAGGAGGAGCCAATATTCAAAAAAGCAGGTCTGCCGACTTCAGAGTCTGTGTTCTTTCCACTGTCATGCTGCCTTCACATTTATAGGATGGCTCTGAGTCATTAAATAAAGATGAATTTAGAACTGTTTAAGAAGCCAGGGAAATTACATTGGTTAAACTGGTGGAAAAGTTTAAGTTAAATGGCAAGCACCCAGCTCCCTGGAAAGCTTAGCTCTCTGGAATGACCAGATACATAATAATAGGGGAGCTACTATAAAATCATAATCCTTACATCTTTCCCAACTTTATCTCTACGTTAGTGTAATTTTGTAATTTTCATGTCAATTTCTTGTCGGTGAACTTAACATGGTCATCTAGGTGACTGGTTTTTTTTTGTTTTTTTTTTTTGTTTGTTTGTTTTTTTGAGACAGAGTCTCACTTTGCTGCCCAGACTAGAGTGAGCGCCGTGGCATCAGCCTCGCTCACAGCAACCTCAATCTCCTGAGCTCAAGTGATCCTTCTGCCTCAGCCTCCCAAGTAGCTGGGACTACAGGCATGCACCACCATGCCCGGCTAATTTTTTGTATATTTATTTTTACTTGGTCAATTAATTTCTTTTTATATTTTTAGTAGAGATGGGGTCTCGCTCAGGCTGGTTTTGAACTCCTGACCTTGAGCAATCCGCCCGCCTCGGCCTCCCAGAGTGCTAGGATTACAGGCATGAGCCACCGCGCCCGGCCTTAGGTGACTGTTTAAAAGAAAATTCAGGAAGAATTTTGTCATAGTAATCATGAGACTGGTACAATTTTCAGTTGGGGTATGTGCTGTTCTGCCCCCGTGGCAATGACATTATCGAGCCACCATTCATGAATAGAATCTGCACATACACATAAATATAATTTATGAATTAGTATTCATAAAAGCCTACTTTTTATGAATAATCATCTGTGGGCTGCAGAAGCAGTATCTTTCATGACATCTTTCTAATGATATTGTCAGAGGGGGAAAGTAGCTATAAACCAAATCCCTGAAAGGTTGAAAGGTAAGTAGTCACACCAGTCATCTTCAGAACCCATTGGATTTACAAGTTTATCCTTGAATAGGTTCATGACTGAGAGGAGGCCTCATTAATCTTAATCATATCAATCTGAGTACCTAGTAAAGTTAGGGCAGCAATGGCTGCTATCACAGACAGTCAGGACATACTTCAGACAAGAATGCACTCACTTCGTAGACACACATACCCAGGCCAGATAACAGCCTGGGATTTAGGAGAGATTCGCTGGAGACACAAATAGTCTCGGTAACGACAATAGCTAGGGAAAGGATCCTAGAGCCAAACACACAGCTAATAAAACCACTGGGGTGCAGGGTCAGACCAGAGTTAGCCACAGAGTCATCCAGAACATTACTGGCTCTATTAAAAAAAAAAAAAAAAAAAGCAGCAACAGAAACCTTGTGTGTAACAAGTGGCCCATTTGGGGCTCCAAGGGGGAAGACTGTGATTGTCTTAGGAGACAGGGCTGGATAGCATCAAGGTCGGGAGGATCTCTGCTCTGAGCTCACCAGGTAGATGTGGGAGGTCAACACTAGGGGAAGAAAAAAGGGAGGGGGAAAAGGAAAGCCACATAGTGTAGGCAGATTTTTGCATTTATTGGAGAGTCTAATCTCTAAAAGTTTAGATTGCCCTGACCGGAGAAGTGAAGAAGAGTCATCTGTTATGCAGTGTAGTGAATGTAACCGGTTAGGCTAGTACTTCTCAATTTTTTTTAACCTTGTGAAACATGTCAACTTGCCAGGAGACGTTAGGGTAGATGGTCTTGTCCCCTCCCTCCATCTCTCCAGCCAAAACAGCTTGTTCACTCTTACTCTATTGAATTTCTCCCAGAGTCTCCAAAGCTCCTTATGAGCAAAGATATTGTATTTTAATCATCTTTGTTTTCCCTAACAAAGCCTAGTACAAAAACACATAGTAGGCTCTCAGTAAACCTTCGTGGCTTTTAACCACCTTGTCTACCCCTGACTTCTACACAGAGAAGGCATTCTCTCCCTTCTCTTACTGTTATTACTAATTAAACTCTTTAACTCTTGGTTAAAAATGTTTAGAAGTGTGAAGAAACACAGAGCTTGAAACTGACAAAGGAAGTCCTCAACACATGGCGTGAGAACCTATGGTAGGTGATTTGATTTCAGCCAACCTTGACTGAGTGAACTTTCAGATGTACACCTCACTTAGCTTTTTTTTTCCCTTACATTTAAGCTTCCTTCTCTCTCTCTCTTTTTTAAACCTGTGAAGAACTTTTATTTGATGCTTCCTTGTTTAGCTTTGTAATAACAGCAGTAATTAATCATAATACTTCCCATCACTGATGCATTTTTTTAAGCAGCTTTATTGAGATGTAATCAATAAATCATACAATTTACACATTTAAAGCGCACAACTCAGGGATGTTTATATTAACGGAGTTGCGCAACCACCATCAAAAATCAAT